CCTCCTCCCTGGACCGCACGCGAGTGCGGCAGTGGAGTACAGTGTGTTCAGCCGTGTGTGCTTCGGAGCGCGCGGGAGAGGGGTACATTTTACCAATAAATATCAGGTCTACGCGCCCATTGTGTCTAGTAGTACCCAGCTATGCACCGGAGCGTGTGCCGTTAGTCTGTATTTTCGCAATACGACGCGAGACAACGCGGTGCGCCGCGCGTGTGTGGCGTTGTGGTTCTCACAGCGATGAATCAGTCGGGCGCGTCCTTTTATCGCACACGGCCCTCCTATCGCGTGCGCCGGTGGCCAATATCGAGCGAATATATCCACCGCGGCGGCACATCACCTGCTGATGCTGCATGCATCCGACGCTGGCTACGGTCCAGTTCCACCCTCCTAACACTGGTAAAATTGTGACGTGACAAGGTGTTTCTTGACTCCTATCCCTATCGCTCCTATCCGAAGAAAAACGTTTTTTGATAAAAACACTCTTTCTTGCAGGGATGCACGCTTGCTTATCCTAAGAGTGTGCGCAGGGGCGCGATAACAAGTTACACATGTCACGCTTGTTTTTCAGCGCGCCTACTCTACCGCATCACCCCGACCCCGACCGCACACGCGGGACAAGTCTTGAAAGTTTTCAAGAAAAACAGACAAAGAAAACAAAATTGGAATTAGAAGTACGGGGTTTGAGAGAGGGAGTTTGTCAAAACGGATATCCTGTGCTGCTGCTGTGTATATTTCCCCTTTCACTTTCCCTCTATCCCTCCGTATGTAGGGGCAAGGAGGGCGTACGTACGTGGTCGGGCGCGCGCGCTGGGCGCCCAGCCCATTAGGAGGGCCACTCAACCGGCGTGTGAATGGCCGCCCTGCCCGGCCCGGCCGCCGGGTCATCAAGTGTTTGCTTCATTATTCAACAACCGGCCGCCCCGTCCCGTCCCGTCCTCGGCGCCAAGGGCGGCGCGGCGGTCCAGGAGGTCCGGCCGCCCGGGGGATAAGGATTCGCGCGAGCCGCGGGGAGGAGAGGGGTGGGGTGGGGCGGGGCGGGGCGGGACGGGACGTGTGGGAGAAGACATTGTTTCCTCGTTTTTGTGAGCCTCGTACGCCAAAGAGGAAAAGGCAACATGTTTCGTCGTCCGGGGTGGTCTTCTCTGTTCTCGCGGAAAAGGGAAAGAAGGATAAACTTCCTCGTGCCTAGTGCGGGGAAACGAAAGAGGGGAGGGGGGCTCATCCGATGGGAGAGATAGGAAGGATATCCTCCTCGACTCACCGTCCGGCCACCAGGTTGTCGCTGTTGGCCTGCTCGATTCTGAAGTGCTGGCCCTCGTCGTTGGTGTTGTACGCGAACCTGTACGAGCCGTCCGGGTTGACGTCCACCTGCTGGAAGTCCACCGACGGCCTCTGCACGTCCACGTTGAGGCGGCGACCGCCCTGGCGGGCGATGCGGACCTCGTCCGTCGCCGTCTGCAGCGCCTCCATGGAGGCCTCGGCCTCGTCCTCTTGACGTGTGACGCGCACCTCCGGCTACAAACACGCAGGTCTTTCATGAAATTTCACTGTCGAAAAACAAATCTGTGCCCAAATAGTAAGTTACTTACACGCAGGGACGCCGCCTTCGCTTCGTCCCGCTTGGGGTTCCCGGTCGTTGAAGGGAAGTCCGGGTACTTGGCCGCGGTCTGAGGGGCCTCGGTGTTCGGGGGCAGCGGCGGCTCAGTCACCAGGGAGGGCGGGCTGGGCAGCAGCACCTTGGGGAAGGCTGGCGCCTCAAGCGGCGCCGTCGCGCCAGCGCCGCGACCCCAGACTTCCGCGGGAACTTCGGGGAATAGGGGCTGGCCCACGAAGTCGTCCGTCGCCGGGCTGGGCGTTGGTCTGGCCGTCGTCTTCCTCACGCCTTTCCTCGCCTTCCGCCTCCGCTGGCCGGACTTCCTCTTCTTCGGCTTGGGCTCCGGCGGCAGCTCGTTGACGGGCGCGGTGAGGTCAGGCGAGGCCTCCTCCCTCGGGGGCAGGCCTGCGGCCTGGGCGGGGCAACACAGAGACATGTGAAAAAAACACTTAAAATTTCCAGAAAAGTTCAATCGAGTTCAATGTTTTCTCAAAAAAAGAACAACATCTTTTCCATTTTTCCAGGAAAATTTGCTATTTTTCCCAAACGGCCTTCAAAACGTTACACGCGAGAAAAGGGGCGCTCGTCGACGATTTCCGAGAACGACGTCCTGGTGGCGCCGGAACTGAGCCCTTACCTTCCTACTGCGGGCGTTGCGGGCGGCCAGGGCCTCCCTGGACCGGAAGGAGCCATCGCCCTGCCGCACCACGCGTCTGTCGTCCTTCTTGAGGGAGGTGGACGACGGCCGACGGCGCACTCGCGGGCCCTGCATCAGCTCCACGGCGGGCGCGTGCAGAGTATCCTCTGCCCGCCGGCCCGTGGGGTACAAACGATTAGTGCGAAAACCAAGGCGGACGGGGCTGGAGTCTGGATATCATACCGAGCCCACAGTAAGAACCAGCACCACCCTCAGATTCCCACCTACCTTCAGTCATGGAATACACACTAGAGTAGGAAGTTTGTAATATGAACTTCAGCACAAATTTTGACGCGCATTCGTCATCTATAGGGATAAGAAGCAAATATACCGATTTTGAACCGAATCGTAGATTTACACCTAAGTCTCCTTGTTAGGCGCCACGGTCAGGGGCGAGCGTCAAGGCGTCAAGCCCACCCACGCCTGCGTGCGGTACAGTACAGCACCAGACTACAGAAGTGCGCAGGGTGGGCGCTTCTGAGAACATCCAGGCCAAGATATCAGGATATCTAACAAAACAAGCATGCGTCTTACCTGTACGACCCGTCGTTGTTCTGCACGATGGTGGTGCGCCCGCGCGGTGGGTTCCCGGGGCCCAGGTGGTAGCCGGGCGCGGGCACGTTGTCGGGGAAGCTGTTGATGACGTTGAAGCCCTTCTCGGCGCCGGCCTCGTACTGCACGACGTGGCGCTCGCCCACGTCGTCGATGTAGCTGTACACGCCGGAGACGTCACCGCGCGAGTCGGCGTCCTCCTTGCGCGCGTACGTCGGCGTCCTGAACGCGAACGAGTAGCTGGGGTCCTCGAGCGGGTCGAAGTAGTTGTCGTACTCGGGGCTGTAGCGGCCGTCGGGCGGGGGCCGGGGGCCGCGACCGCCGGCCTGGGACAGGTCCATCTTCCGGGCGATGTCCGTGCCGCGGGCCCTGAAGCCGCGCGGGCCGGCCGTGTAGACCGTCTGCACCGGCCGACCCTCCGCGTCGCGGTACCCGTACCTGCGCAACGGCAGAAACACGTTTTACAGGAGACTGGCGGCGGCCTTCATTCCCCACTTTGTTATTAAAATTTAGGACATCCCTAACATAGGGCAGGTGCTTGGTGGTGCGGGGGAGGGAGGGGGG